ACTGTGGTGTAGTGGTTAAAGTGTTGAACTAGGATCTGGGAGACCCCGGTTCGAATCCCCACTTTGCCATGGAAGCTTGTTGGGCGACCCTGGGGCTAACCCACTTCACAGGGTTGCTGTGAGTACAAAACGGAGGAGAGGAGAACGATGTGAGCCACTCTGGGTCCCCACTGGAGAGAGAGGTGAGAGAATCGTGGAATAAACCTGTGGAAATAAACCTGTGGAAAGTTAACATAACAGAGTGACTCTTGCAGAGATCGGGGGCCTGGAGACCAAGAAGCCCTGTGAGGAAAGGCGGAGGGACCTGGGAATGTTCAGTCTGGAGAAGAGGAGGTGGGGGGGGACAGGATGGCTCTCTTGAAGTATTTGAGGGGCTGTCCCTTCAAAAAGGATGTGAACAGAATGGAGTGGGTGCAGAGGAGAGCGATGAGGATGATCGGGGGCCTGGAAACCAAGCCCTGTGAGGGAAGGCTGAGGGACTTGGGAATGTTCAGTCTGGAGAAGAGGAGGTTGTGGTGGGGGGGACAGGATGGCTCTCTTGAAGTATTTGAGGGGCTGTCCCTTCAAAAAGGATGTGGACAGGATGGAGTGGGTGCAGAGGAGAGTGATGAGGATGATCGGGGGCCTGGAGACCGAGCCCTGTGAGGGAAGGCTGAGGGACTTGGGAATGTTCAGTCTGGAGAAGAGGAGGTTGAGGGGAGACAGGATGACTCTCTTGAAGTATCTGACGGGCTGTCCCTTAGAGGAGGGCAGGGAGCTCTTCCTGTGGGCAGCAGAGGAGAGGACTCACAAGAATGGGTTTGAACGAAGGGCGGGAAGGTACCGGCTGGATCTGAGGAAAAACGTTTTGACAGCAAGAGTTGGGCGACAGTGGGATCAGCTGCATGGGGAGGTGGTGAGCTCCCCCTTCCCTGGCAGTCTTGAAGCAGCGGCTGGACAAACACTTGTGAGGGATGCTCTAGGATGATCCTGCATTGAGCGGGGGGGGGGGTTGGACTCGATGGCCTGTAGGGCCCCTTTTGACTCTCTGAGATTCTATGATTCTAAGTTTGTAGCCTTTCTTGCTAGTTTTCAATATGCCTGGAAGAAGCATATTATTATTATTATTGTTGTTGTTGTTATCCCACCTTTCTGCCCCCTTAGGGCCACCAAGGTGGCTCACACAAATTAAAATCTCACCATCTTGAAAGCCATTCAAACCAACACACAAATGCATCATTCAAACCAGTTAAAACCAGAGCTTAAAATGAGCACAAGAGGTAAAAACAACAGTTTAAAACATTAGGGAAGACGGAGGGACCACTGATGGAATGCCAAGCTAAACAAACAAGTTTTCACTCCCTGGCAGAAGATGGCAACAGAAGGGGACAGCCTAATTTCCCTTTGGTGAGAGCAGCAGAGTTTTGGAGCCACCACTGAGAAGGCCTTCCCCTGGGTCACCACGTGCCTAATCTCAGGAGGCACCCGAAGGAGGACCCCTGAAGATGACCGCAGTGCTCAGGTAGGTTCATGCCACTGGACATAGGAAGTTGGCAGAGTCCTTCAAGTTATGACAACTGCACAAGATGGGGAAAGGGAAGAAAACAAGGATCCACAGATGACCAATCTTTTAGGGGAAAGAGACAGAGACCGATTTCACACAAGAGCTGTGCTGTAGTCGCACCTCCCTTTGCCCCACTTCTATTGGTCAATTTCCCACTCGAAGCTGCACGGCTGCATTTTGACCCGCGGCTTCGCCCAATTTCCCCCGCGGTTTCGTGACCCTCAAAAAACAGGATCACAAAACCGCGAGGGAAATCGGGCGAAGCCGCAGGTCAAAATGCGGCCGTGCGGCTTCGAGTGGGAAATTGACCAATAGAAGCAGGGCAAAGAGAGGCGTGACCGCGGCACAGCTCTTGTGTGAAATCAGTCAGAGAGTGTTGCAGGTGACCATTCCAAATGAAGCTGATTTTTTTTCCGGCACTCTTGACCAAATGGCCCAGTTACATGTTACACCCAAGAACCAAGAGATACAAGAAGGTGTTTAATGCCACAAGTCGAGATTACTTACGGCTGTTCTGGCAGATATCCTGGCATTCTCGCAAAGATTCAAAGTTGTTTTGGTTTCCCAGGCACCCACCATACATGAATTTTTCACACTGCTGAGAGTCCTTGTTGTAGAAATACCTGGAAATCATCCCTCGGCAGATTCCAGGATCGTTCTCCAAAAGGCAGAAGGAGGGTTTCTCTGTGGACAAAGATCATTTCAGGGAAAAGGGTGGGTGTTTTTTTCTCCAATCACACCTACCTTATTTTTATTTGATCTCTACTAATTGCCTGACAAGATCACCTTGTTTACTAACAGCTCATCAGAACTAGAATTTGATCATCATCATCATCGTATGGCTTTGCATGCAGAATAGCCAGGAGATACCAAGATTGTCTGGCAGCTGCAAGTTCCAGCTCTTAGCGTTATGCTAGTGGCAGGCTAGACTTGTTTTTAGGGGCTGAGAGAGCTCTGAGAGAACCGTGACTGACCCAAGGTCACCCAGCTGGCTTCATGTGGAGGAGTGGAGAATCGAACCCAGTTCTCCAGATTGGAGTCCACCGCTCTTAACCACTACACCAAACTGGCTCTCACTCGAATTCGATGAGGATCCTTGTGGGCTCTCTAAGAGGACTGCGTTACCAGGCTCGGAACTCATGACTGGCAGTTCAGATTTTTTTTAAGAGATGGATTTTAACCCATCAGTTCCATGACGATTGTCAACCCATCAATCACTTGGCTGATCTCCTAAAAATCACCCTGGAAATCCCTGAAGGAGAAACAAATTCAGCAGCACCACAACACCTGGCCCAGAGTCAGAATACTCCCTTCCACGTACAGCTGTTGGGTCTGCTTGGGAATAAGAAGCCTTTGGATTCGACTCAGCTACGAATGCCTGGCAGGTCTAAAGGGCAGGATCAGACAGCAACATCTGGGAAAGGTCCCATAGCCGTCGGCACCCCATGCTGCTTTGCCATGGAAGCGGAGTTAAAAGACGCCAGGGACAGTCCGGTCCTAATGCCTGCCGATGGGCTACAGACAGACTTTCCCCTGTCTGATCACTCAAGCACACTCCCATGCCGTCGGGATGGTCGGCTCATTCCATCCCGACTTAGTACCGTTTCCTCCCCCCGTTGCTTAGCAGTATGCGCATAACCGCATACTCCACGGGGAACCCTCAGTGCGGAGGTGCAATTCCTTGTTTCTGCGCATGGGAAACAAAAGGCAAAAAAGACCCCACTTGGCTTGAATGTGCTGTCTGATCAGGCAGGGATGGGCTGAGCCCACAGCTACAAAAGATGTGTGATTGTGCAACGCCGCTGTCAATTTCCACTGGGGGAAATCCCCCACTGGGGGAAATAGGCTCGCTTTCCCTCCGCACCAAATGGCACGTCTGACCACGGCCTCTGCTAAGATTTCTGCAGCGCTTCAACCACCTTGCGGAAACTGCGCTCCCGTCTAGTTGCTTCTTGCTCCAGATTAGTGGCCCACGACCCCTTGGGCTTGCAAACCCAGCCGGGACATGAAAGCACTTGCAAAAGCCTGCCTCCGGCCCCGTCACACGGGGGGGGGGGGGAAACACGGGCAAAGTGCAGCTTTTTAAAGCCGCACCAAAAGAGACACACGGCGGCGGGATCACATAGATCCCCTGAGCTGCCGCGCACTTCCTCCCCAGCACGATCAGATGCCGGGGGGAAGCCACTGACAGGGAAGCGAGGCAGCCGAACTGCGCATGTGTGAGCATGCGCAGTTCGGGCGGGAGCCGGGATTGCTACGAACGAAGAGCGCGCCGGCGATCCCACGGCCGCGCTTGATGCGGCGTCACAGGCAAGTCCTCCTCTGGGGGTGGTTCTTTTTTACAGCACGTTATTGGCTTGAAGGGACGGATTGGGGATGGGTGTGAGCCAATTCCCAGATGTTGCAGTGTGCTCACGCCCATTTGCTGTGCCCCTGATCCGTCCCTCTCCTGGGCCAAAATCTCCCGTGTGACCGAGGCCTCCGATGCCCAAACCTCTGATGTAATCCAATTCTCATTCCAATTGGCATCCGGCGGACACAGTACTTTGATAATCAGGGTGATTATGAGACAGGAAAGCTATGCAAAATCACAGTGAATGAGAGGGGGAAGTTTAAGGCGACACGCCATGCAGAAGGCAGCATGACACATTTATCTTGAAGACAGCTGCCCTTTGTACACATCTGGGACAATCTCTGTAACTGAACATTTCGAGACAGGTGAGGCACACTTGTTGGTGTATGAAATCTAATCAGATGGAAGAGAAGAGATAAGAAGCGGTGCAATTCCTTCAGGATTCAACATCTGCCAGAGCTGTAGATATGAGCAACCATCTCTTCCCTGGAGGCCCAATCTGTCACTATAAAACCAGTAAACACGACATGCCTCAGATGATTATGTGCAACAGCTGAGTTTGGAGTGGTGTCTGTCCTTATCATGGGAACCAAGGAACTGCCAAAAAGGAGTCTTGCGTGACATTAAAGCAGAGATCCTCCAAAGTTGTGCCCGTGGGTATCGTTGTGCCCACCGAATGGGCTTCTCTGTGCCCACCTGCTTTTCCTCCAAAGCATCTCCTTATCAGAGCAAACAGCCTATTCTGGTTTTCCGTACTTCCCTGGAGTGTGAGGTACAACAGAAGAGGCACCATTTTTGTGTCTGCACAAAGCACCCATTTGGAAATAGCGGTTTTTGTGATAAGAAGATTCTTGGCGTGAAATGCCTTACACTTTGTGATTGGCACCTCCTTTCAAACTACGGCTGCAGTCACACGGCGCATTAGCCACACTACAGAGACGGAAGATAGGCGGATTTTCCGGGCGCGATCACACTGCAACATCTGGAAAGCGTAGAGCTCCCGTGGCGAACCCGAGGCTTCCCGCCGAAGATGTGGCTTAAAAAACTAGTACCTCCGAGGTACTAGTTTCCAGAAACCGCAGGGCAAGGGCGGGCGTCTGATCGCGTTTCCGGTGGTAGCTCGTGGCATCCGGCGCCCGCCCATGTCCCATCGTGAAAAGGGTTTTTTTCCCCAAGTCTCCACGGGATGCGCACAAGCACCCAAGGGCGTATGCGCACACTTCGGTTAAAAAAACAACACAACCCCCGCCGCGCTGCTTCTTTGCCGCGCCGCAGGATTGACGTATGATCGGCACCTCCCCCCCCCTGAACCACGGGACGTCGGCGGGACGTTTGATCCGGCGGCCGCGCAGTAGTTCACTCTGGGGCAAACAGCCCCCCCCCCCCCCGGACATTCGGTT